CACTCTTTCTCTCTCCCCCCCCTCCCCGATGAAGTGGTTCTCGGAAGCGTTAGTTCATTGCAGCTTCCAACCCTTGTTCCAGGCATGACCTTACACTAGACCCTGAGAAGCACGTTTGGTTTAATCTCTTTAATTAGGAAAGAAGTAACAAACCTTATGGTATTAAACTGATTAAAAGGTCAGCATTAAGGTATTAATTTTCTGTGCCAGATGGATGGATTGATTTTTATTTGTTTGTTTTGTTTTCCTAACTGTAGATCGGAACAACATATTAGCTTTGGCTTTGTGTGACTGTTACAGAATACAATCAGTTCTCCCTACAGAGCGGGCAGCTTGATATCCTGAGTGAATGACTTGTTTCCAAAAGAAAGATGTTGCTTCTGACGCTGTTGGAAGTTTTGGTGACATGCTACTGAGATTCAGTGTCACTTCAATGGTTCGATGCAGGATTGGCAATGCTCTGCTGCGGTGAGATCATGCAAAATCTCTGGGCTGTGGAAGCGAGCCATGCTCTGCACTTTGGCACTCAGCGCAGTGTGCAGCCTGCATGGGAGCCAGGAGCCTCTTCTTTTCGGAGTACCCAGACTCCGGCATGTGCTGTCAGTGGGGGGAACCCTGTTACGACCTTTCCATCAAACTTGCTGAAGCTTTGCGGTGTCTGCAGTGCTGCATATTCCAAGGGTGTGGGGATGGCTGGTTTCTTCAAAGACGTACCAGTAAATCTAGTATTTCTACGTGGGTTAGGAGTACAATGTGTGAAGTTTGGCTTTCAGACACCAGCTTGGTTCCACAGTTATCCTTATGACCAGCAGATGGAGTTGAGAGAATATTACTTTTTGGAAGCTAAGGAAATCGTTTCTCCTTGGTTCTCTTGACTTGAATTGGAACGGCATATCTTCTCTTGCATTTTTTTTTTTTCTGATCTCTTATTAAACTACATCTCGAGTGTTCGGTTGTGTTCTTCCTTGCTTCTCTGTTTCTTTTGATGTCCTTTGGATTTTTTTTTGTTGACAGATTTTGGTCAGAAGAAAGGAAAACAATGATCTTTAAGACTAGGGGATAAGGCTGTCTTAGGTGTGCCTTGCTGCAGGCCTCCTAGAGAGAGGAAGAAGGCTTTTATACTTGGCGGCCAAGTTTAATTAGAACAAGTAGAACTGTAGCTACTTAAAATAGACAACTTGTATCTCATTCTAGAGACTAGAAATAAAAGGCTTTATGAAAAACCTCTGTCGTGCCCTTGCAGTGAGGAAGGCTTGCTTTCTTAACCTTTCAGTGATTTTTTTTTTTCCTCTCTTGCAGCAAACTCAGTCTTCTCTTTCACTGCAGGAAAGGTCTGTGACTGCTGCCCCAGAGGCTGTGTGTCTGCTTGCTGCTCTCATCAGCAGTCTCCTGGTCTCTGGTGGGCTTGCTGTTTGCTGTGCTCACCTTCCCTGTGCCTGCCCTGACCTGCATGCTCAAAGTTTCTCTTTCCAAGGTGTGCTCACTCCTCAAGAAAATCCCACGTGATTTGAAGAGGAGGAGCAGCCTAGCAAACAGCTGGGAAAAGCTTGTGGATACTGCTTAGCCATGGTCTTCTGATGGA